AAGGCTTATTGGAAAGGTGGGCACATGGAGAAATTCTCTTCAGGCATTTCATTTTTGAAGGTGTCATTGCCCACAGAATGAGAATAGCTTTTATTAAAAGTAATCGCAAAGAATAGATGATCCAGAATTATAGTTCTGCTATAATGCGACATATGCATTTCTAAAAATCACTGCAGTATACAAAATAGCACAGTAAAAACCACAGGGTCATCGCAGAAACAAGGTTAAGATGTACAACACTCAAAGGTGTTGTCAGTGACACACACACAAAGATGGGAACCTAATAAATGCAGCAAATACTACAGCACATATGACACTTGAAGAAGACCTGAAATTTGCCTGTGGATATGGGTGCTAGCTGGGTTGCAGTCTGTGAGTTGCTGTGATGTGGAGGAAGGAGGACTACCTGAAATTGGATGGAACATTTTAACACCAGGTGTGGACAGGTGTGGCTCATTACCCCAAAGGTGAACCAAGGTGGCCTATAGGTGGTTGAGGTGTGTGGATGAGTGTTTTTATATTTCTGTGCAGCTGAGTTCAGTTTGGTTCAGCTGGGTGCAGTTTTCTGTGTTCACCTAGTGTTTCTTGCAGACAAAATCATGCATAAGCAAATGTGAAAATTGCTTTATGCTCAAATTGTCCCCCTAATAAGCACATCAGTGACATTGGAACAAATTTGTGTTTTCAGAATAAGCCTTATAACAGAACTGGCTGTAGTTTTATTTGATTTTGGAATTGAATCCCTTTTCCTTTCTTCCTTTCCACCATTATTGATTTCTTAATTTGTACTTAAGTTAAGCTCATATCAAATTCATTTTTCGTACCCCGAGCACCTCTAGAGGATAGAAACCAGCCTGAGATTTTAATTTTGCTAGAGAAAATCCACAGGTAGTTTCCTTCTTGCTGAAGATACATATATTGAGACCTTTACTCCATGTCAGGCACAGTGCTGGGGATACAGAGATGGCATGGTATAATCTTTGTCCTCAGGAGGTTAGTCTCATCCAAGCACAAATTTGAATGTCTTTGTTGGGTCTTCTTATACAGGGGACAGATGAACCAACATATATTTCTTTGTGAACACACAAGCTAACATTCCCTCTCCACTCTCCTCTCCTGCTTCCTTGTAAATGTAAAGGAAAGAGTAAAGAGGGGCTGGCTGGTTAACTCAGTTAGTTAGAGCGCAATGTTATAACACCAAGGTCAAGGGCTCATATCCCCTTACCCTTACTGGCCAGCTGCCAAAAAAAAAAATGGCCAAGAGTAACAGAGCTTGCCTAGAGGAAACACAAAGATAATGATTTACATGTTGTAAATATGTGTATTTGAAAAGGACCTAAGAGGTCTTATAGTTCAACCCCTCCCACCTGACTCTTTAATAAACCCAGTGATCAGGTGTCCAGGGTAGATTGGTAAATTTAAAAAAACAAGTTTCAATGTGATGTGAATAGCATGATCTCATTTTTTTTGTTAAATCCCCCCATCCAATGCACATGTATGTATGTGTTGTTTGTGTAAGAGTAGACGATGTGGAAAGATCTCCCATATTGTTAATATTAGTTACCTCAGGGGACAAGGGAAAGCTTATTAACTTTCTCCTTATACATCTTTTATTGTTTGGTTTGTTTTAAGAAGCATGTTTTACTTTCTTAATTAAAAAAATCTAATAAAGTAGGAAATGAATAAATAATAGTAATAAAAAATATCCTCAGGGCACTGAGCTTTGTTTCAATCATCCCAGCAGCTGAGTAGTTAAAACTGAATGTGATGTTTCAGGTGTGGGCTGCCCAGCAGGACTCTGAACTTCATGTCGTAGCCTAAGATGATATAACTTTTCTGGCAGCAACACTATACTGTTGGGGGTTTCTCTGTTTTCTAGACCGTTAGTACCTCAAAGTCTTTCTCGTATCTGCTAGTCTCGGCACAATCTGCCCTGGATAATCATTTTGGACCCAAGTTTAGTCCTTTACACTCTTCCTGTTAGTTTTCATCTTGTTATTGTGGAAATCAGTATTTAACACAGGTAAGAACTGGCCTTAGATTGAGGCCATCTGATTGTAGATCCTGTCTACCACTAACTAACATGAAAACTTGGACAAGTAACTTATCTTCCCAAGCCTTAGTTTTCTCATCTGCAAAACAGCAATGATCTTCAAGTGAGGGTTCAGTGGGATGCCGTATGTTAGAACACTTACTGGGTACCTGCTGAAATAGTAGTAGAACATGGTAAATATTAGCTGTTACTTCTAGTGCATTAACCTCAGCTCCTCTCTCCCATCCGTTGACATGTTAGTGAGATAATTTTGGATCTTGATTCTTCATATTCCACATTCTATACCCCTTCTTTCCATAAACAAGTCAATCTTCTACACTTTTCTCACAAGACCCCCAATCAGTCTCTCTCTCCTTCCCCAGGTCCCTTCACTGATGTTGTCACGACCAACCTAAAGCTTGGCAACCCGACAGATCGAAACGTATGCTTTAAAGTGAAGACGACAGCACCACGCAGGTATTGTGTGAGGCCCAACAGCGGGATCATCGACGCAGGGGCCTCGATTAATGTATCTGGTAAGTCCCGAGATGGAGGCTAAGAGGGCAGGCTCAAAAGGCCCCTAGAAAGAACCCAGTGGGTTTTTTTAAAGCTTATATTTGCAGTGTAGCAAAATAAGATGATAGACTTTTCTCCACACCCCCCACCTCCCTTTCAACAGCCCTCCACCCCCTGACTAAAAGGCATAATGGGTCCCACTCACTTTTTGCTGTCCGTAATTAATGCTGCTTTGTTTTAAGGCTTACAGCCTTTGTGGCTCAGTAGTTAGAGCAAAATTAAAGTGGTTTCTTTAGACTTGACTTCAGAATGAGTTTGGTTTTCACTCCCTTGAAATTAAATCTTCCCTTTGGCAATAAATAAAAAAAGACTAAACAAACTTAATTTTACTTTGTGGGAGAAAGCTAAATGGAGTTATTTTCTTATTTAAGCTAAATGATTTCTGACATTAAGCCCCTGTCATTTCCAGTGATTGGTAACTGCACTTTACTGATTGTGGAAAGCTAAGGCAGATGAGGCCTGAGGAAACGAATATATTCAAGGGTGCAAGTTTGTGCATGTCTGATGTTGGGGTTGTTTTGTTTTGTTTTTACCCCTTCTGTCTGAGAGTACACATATTTTCCAAAGTCCAACTTTTGAAAAGATGGTAGTAAAGTACCTAAATTGAGAATTAAATTTCAGACTTAAGGAGATGTAAGTGATGGATTGGAGTTTAAATGTATTTCAGAAATGGAGAAACTTTTAGGTTATTAGGACTTCTGGAGCCAAGAAGGAGCTGTGGGGGAGTGTGTATTTATCCTTTAAATATCAGCTGACTCAGTGTCACAGAAGCTTCTGCATCATTAGGAGCTACTACTCATTTGAAATGAGTACCTAGCTGGCTTTTTCCATGATAGATTTTGGCTATTCATTTGACACCTAAGAGAAAATGATTCACCTCTTTGGAAAGATATAAGGTGTTTCATTATCTGACCATTTCTGCAAACTCTTATTCCCTGCATCCATTGGTCTCTCTCATTATGGTACACCCACGCCAGCTCTCCCCCTGTGTGCTTCTCTTTGAGTCTGCAAGACCTGATCTGGACTCTTGAATCCGGTTATTTCCCAGGAGAGTGGAAGTCAGGAGAGTGGAAACCAGCATTGATCGGGGGGCTGCTATGTGCTGGACCTGCACATGTGCTATCTCATGTCATTTCTGTTATCTGCCCTGTAAGGGATGCATTGTTACCTCCATTTTACTAAGGAGGAGACTGGTGGTCGTAAAGTCACCAAGTTAGCAAGTCACAGCCAAGATGTGGATTGTCCTATCTGGCTCTGAAAACATATTCTCTTTGAACTGCAGCATGTTGCAGAAGGGAAGGGACCTGGGATGTTGGCATTTCTGTATCCTCTTGATTCGTGTGGTTTAAGTTTTTCTGTTGAAACCAAGGGCAGCTGAAATCTTTCATTTCCCTCTTTTATCTACTTTTTTCCCCTCTCAGTTTCCTTGTCCATATTAAATTTGAGCAAGGTTGTTAGTAGGTGAAAATTACAATTTTTACAATAAATACGGGGGAAGCAGGTGGTCCTCCGAATAAAATAATCCCAGTAGGTAGCTGTACAGTGTAGATGTGCTTTCTGATATTAAATAGAAATATGTGTGTGTATATATGTGTGTGTGTCTATCTCTTTCAGAAAGATCCATCCCTCTCCCATTGTAAGGATTTTCTTAAAAAGTAATAACTAACTCTAGACATTTGTTTTGATTTGTGATTACCTACTTAAAGAAGACCAGGATTTTGTGGTGTGGCCTTTTACAGACAAGAAAGGATGGTACAGAGTGTGGGCATGATCATTTAGAGCCACATGCGTGGTTAGTGGCAGAGCTGGTATATGAAGCCAAGAGTCTTGGCTCTTGATCTAATGCTCTTTCTATGATATTAAACTGCCTCAACAGTGTTAGGGATGGCCCACTTGCAAGTGAATATAAAATGTAAAGTACTGTCATTCTCAAAATGTAATGTATTTGGGGGAAAAAATAGTTGAATAATAAAATGTCCATGTTTCTGCAAGCCTTCTTCCTAGGTGAGACAAGACTAGATTTGCATATGAGAAAGGGATCGTTTGTCTTTATTTGGTGATGCAAGGTGTCACTGCATTTCTAGGATGGCCTCAAAGGTCAGCAAGGGGCTGGCCTGTCTGCTGCAGTTTTGTGTGCTGAGGGCCGCTGCATCACTGATTAGACATGCATACCTTGGGATAAAAAGCACTGCCCTTTTCCAGGGTCCTCTTAAAATGCGGTGATATGATGACATCTTGGTGAGTCAGTACAGTCCCAGGTTCCCTTGGGAGAGGGCCTATTCCCCAGGAGGAGGAGGAGAACAGTGGACAAGCAGTGCAGATTATCCAAAGGCTGGCCTGCCTTCTCTTCACTTGCACACACGGCCAGGCTTGGTTTCGCCCTCTCTGCTCAAGGATCACTGAATTTGAGGTAAGGAAACCTGAGCAGGAAGCCCAGTTCTACTGTTTAACCAGTTGGCTGATCTTTAGCCAATATATTAACCTCTCTAGGTTCTAGTTTTCTCATTTGTAAAGTGGAGAGAATAGTATGTACTTCACAGAATATTCACAAATACTGTGTTAACTGAAAGCATGGAACAAGAGTAAGACTGCATTATTCTTCCACTAGCTTTGACAAAAACTGGCTAGTTTTTGTTGAAGGTGGATTGCATAATATTTGGATTGCTTTTTTAGAAATAAATTAATCCCATACATTTTATTAATTTATGGACCTTTCCTAATTTTGAGAAGAAATTTGTGTTTTTTCTTCTTTCTGTAATATACATTTGTTTTGTAATGAAAAGTTGCTAGTAAATTTTAAAATATAATCTATAAAAAGGTGGCTATCAAATCAACTTAAAATACTACCAGCATTGTCCTGCTCCCATGCAGAATGTCACAACTTACCTGAAAAGGACACGACTAGTGCATTTCTCCAATTTCTGAAAACCCTTGGGATGTGCTAGCTATTAGGGAGGGTTATAAATCTTTTAAAGAGAGAGGAAAAGAGGGAGGGAGGAAAGGGGAGAGGGAGGGAAACAGGGGGGGAGAGTGAGAAGGATGATGGTCGTGATATGTGCCCTGGAGCTGGCCAGAGGGCTGAGGTTTTGAAAGCACACAGATCGGGGTGTGACAGGGAGAGCCAGATATCTTTCGCACATACCCTGTAAAGCTACTCTCACCTTTCAGATTAACCTGATATTCAAGGGACCTTACGTTATGCTTCAAAAGTTCAGGCTCTGACTTATCTGACTATTTTTTTCAGAACGTGGCAGATCACTTCAGAACATTAGGTCCTTTAAAAAAAAAAACAAAACCTCCCTTTTATAAACTTAGCTGATAAAGTAACAATTGGACACAGGCATAATCTAAACTTATTGTGTCAATAGATTATAATGTGTGGACTTTCCTAAGAGGTGCTTTGGGATCTGGTTCCTCAGACCTATGATTTGAGTTCTCGTCTTTGTCCTTTAGATAGGCACTCATTTCATCTTATAGCAGCCCCTTCTGGGGTCCATGCCTGCTGGATGAGGCAGCTTGGTAGGTGAGATCGTGCAGGACACTTTCTGTTTGTATTAATTGGCCCAGAGTGCCATGGTTTTGGCCTTTGCTCCTTGATACGTTAGTATTTACTAGAGATGGTTTTGAATTATTCAAATCTAAACCTCAGTGAAATAGGCATACTTAAATGGAGATTGGAGAGCAGGAGATTGAATTTTTTTCCCTTTGAGATTTCAAATGTAAGGAAAATAGAACTTTTTGAGTTAATGAATTGTTTGAGGCAGTGGGGGGTCTCCCCATTTGTTCTAGCTTTACAAAATTAAATCTATTTTCTGAATTGTATGGTGGGAAAATATTCTTAAGGTAGATAATTTCTGAAAATATCTTTGTGATAAGCTGTTAGTGGTTGTGGATTTTTTTTTTTTTTAATACTGCAGTTTAATAATGAGGGAGTTTTCCGTTAATATTCCAAACCATGTTTGCCAGCGGATACAGCAGGTGAAGTGGTAAAATTATGGGCCCATCAAAAATACTTTCGCTTCCTGTAATATGATATTAAGTTTAATATTTTTATAACCTTCACTGAATTCTAATTTCACTAAAGTAGCAAGCACGTTTCCATTTGCAGTTCAGTTATGCACGTTGGTTGCCTTTGTACCAAGCAAATTAGAAATGCAAAATGTTTGTCTGTGTGTGTGAGGGGTGGGCATAGGAAAGAGTCATTACACATACCAATATTTAGGTACAGATACACTTTACTAAGTGTACCCTGGGAATTGAAAATGGATTATAGACAAACACAAATCTCCCAGTGTCTGAATATGTATTTTAAATTAGAATTCAAAAAATTTAGCAGTATTTACTCCTGACATATAGCCCTTTTCAGCCCTCTTTTCAATCCACATTGAAAGCAAAAAGTTCTTCCAATAAAATCCTGAGGACAGAGAATGAATATCAACAACTCTTCCTGGATGGAAACATTGGGCAATTAATGTAATTGGGTAATACTGCAATTGATAATTAATCCTTTTTAAGATTTTGCTGACTCAGTTTAATGTAGCCGTTTGGTAGCCCTGGACCAGTCAACCTCGGCCTGCAGCTTTTTGGTGATTAGCACCAGCATATAAATGCACAGAATGCTTAGAAAAAGAGGCCAGGCATTTACCCATCAAGTGCTGTTAGTGGAAAATACATCTGGAGAGTCTGTGCTTCTTTAAGAGCAACATTCTTCTTCGTTTGATCGTTTGCTTTGGAAGTCTCTGATAAGCGAAACCTTTTTATAAGTTGTTTTCGTGAACCAGGCTTATAACTCTCAGATAAGAACAGCTCACATTCATACTTAAAAGATATCTTCAATCTTTTTCACCAGATGAGATTCTGGTTAAAAGAAAAAAATTACCAACAAAAATTAAGCTTAATTGTGCTTTTAAATATTTTTTAAAGTTTATTATAATATTCAGGCTTTGTAAGAGGAATCCTATGTTTCATTTTTTTAATAAGACACAATTTATTGCTTACATTTTTAAATAATCACGATCAAGAGGATTTATCAAGTACATTCAGTGTATCTCACTTAGCTGAAAGTAATGTCAACTTTCTACGTGTCTCAGAAGCAGAAAGCAAGCAAAGGTTTCGAGTAGCCAAAAGTGATGTTCTTTCCACTCATTACAGTTTCTTACATATTTACCTACTTGAGAGCTCCCCAGCCTTGACTCTTGTTCTGTTTACTCTTATTTTAGACTCAGCTGTTAACCCTATTCTGGTTTCCAGCTCATCACCAGCCAGAAAAAAGGAAAAGGGCTGTGAGAGGCAGCCACATGGAAACAGCAGGTGTAGTAGCAGATAGATTGTGAGGAACTGGACAGAGAGCACAGTGTGGGGGAGAGGTCAGAAGTAACAGTAGAGATCTGCAATTACTGAAGCCTCAGGGCAGGCTGCTCTCCATGTTTCAGGTGATCAATCCCAAGAGACATGGCTTGTGGTCTTATTAAAATACAATATAATGGGGGTTCAGAGTCATCACAACACTAGAGCAGTCAGAAAAAGGGTATGTTGTATTCTATTATTAAGTGTTCCAGGAGACAGGAAAGTACGTTTGGACTTCTGAAAAAGATTTACACTAAAAAAAGGGCATTTATAAAAGAGAGCGAATGTGCCTTGTTATTTGGCCCGTCCCTGTGTGTAGCACACGTCATCTTCCGTTGATACTGGAGAAGGGAGACCTCACTGTCGGTAAGTTTGCATTAGTCTCTGTACAGGTAAGTTAATCGGACTGTGAGGAGTTTGTTATCTGAAAAGGACTACATGAATTGGAAAATCCTATACAGAACACAAAGACAATTCAGTGTTATCTTATTTATAAATAGATAAAATTAATTATTTACTTGCTACACTCATATTCCATCCATGGGTCCCTGAATAGGGAAGGTAATCATAATTTCAACATTTTGAGAATCCTAAAGGAAATAATAAATTTACTCATGATAAGGGTACGTGGTCTAACTAAAACGTCAAGCTTCTTTGCTTTGGGCAGGAATTCTGTCACCTTATTGTGGTAATACTGGTTGTCTTCAGCTGATCAAGAGCTCTGGTTGGCATTTATGTATGTATATCTTTGATTAGTTTCAAGAAAGTGGAGCAGTGACTTCATTATGCCACCATAAATGCAGTTTGATAGGAGAACATTCTTTTGATTTGCAGGCTTTGTGAGAGGAGAGAGACATGGTATAAGGAGACTGGCGATAAGAAGCTGGGAAGCTGCTATCTTGGGCCATGGGGAGGAGAGTGAGTTGCTCTGGGAAGTGGAACAGAAAAGAAACCAGTTGGGTGAGGGTTTAAGGAGGGTTCCTCTCTTTGGGCTGCTCCAAGGAGATTTTTAGAGGGAGCAGTAATTCAGGAGTGCTTTGAATTTGGAAGGGAGGGAGTTACAAACCCATCAATGGTGATAAAATGCAAATTAACCCCAGAATGGGAGCTATTAAAATATTAAGTTCTGGGGCCGGCCCGGTGGCGCACTGGATAGTGCGCCGCTTGGGAAGTGCGGGGCGGCGCTCCCGCCCGAGGGTTCGGATCCCACATACAGACCGGCTCCCGCTCACTGGCTGAGCGAGGCGTGGGAGCAACACCTGCTTTGAATTTGGAAGGGAGGGAGTTACAAACCCATCAATGGTGATAAAATGCAAATTAACCCCAGAATGGGAGCTATTAAAATATTAAGTCCTGGTCTCAGTCCACCTTGGGAGAAAAGGCAGTCATGTAGGGTCATGTAGGAAGGAGCTCAGTAGTCTTAGTATCAGTAGTGTTTCCCAGTAGAGTAAGGTGCCCACAGTAAGAATGCAGGTGTGAGATGGCATTTCAGCAGGAGCTGCAGCTTTAGAAATGTAGTACAGCACTGGTGTGAGTCCTAGGCTAGCCGCAGCTGCAGCATCTAGAACCTGTTAGAAGTGCAGGTTCTCAGTCCTAGCCCAGTGTTGGGCCATATTACAGTGCATTTTCGCCATAAGGGATTTTCCCATATCTAATGTCTGTTTCTTGGCGGGGGCAGGGCGGCAGCCATGTTGCATGCGAGCCGCAAGCTCGCCGCCGCCATTTCATGTGGGCCAAAGCGCACGTACCTAACTACTCCCTTTTCC